TTTTTTTTCCTTTGGGCCTAAGTTGATTGCCAAAGTGTCTTTCAGAAAGGTTATATCCCCTCTTCCCATACTTAATAAAAGGTTTGAGTAAAGCTAACAAGTGGAAAGCAGGTACTTCAAAATATTCAACTTATATTCTGAGGAACTGAGTATAATGGAGTAGATTTTAATCTATGGAACTAATAAAGATTTAAATAGGCAACAGAATTAGATATCGAAAAGTTAAGCGCCTATGAGAAAAAGCACCAATAGAATTCTATAGATTTTAGGAGATTTGGTAAAGTTTTTTAAAATCTCACAAAGCAAAAAACATCTGTAATTCATGCTTACTTTGATCTGGAGACCAGATCTCTGAGAAGAGCCAGTGGTTGAAAGAAAATGTTTCCCTGTGTTAAAGGACTCAGCCATGGATTGGTTGGGCTTATTGACTTTTTCTTGGCCTGAGTCAATTTCAATCAGGAAAGAGAAAGGAATCCAAGATGCTGTACTGGGACTCAGCCATCAGTACAGTTTTACAAGTAATGCAATATACACATTCTACCATGAAAGGATATGCTTTGGTTGGACACCATCTTAAATCTCTCTTCTCCAGAAGTTTCTAATTTAGCTTATGGGGAGATCTCATTTGCTGATTGTGAAATATATTTCCCAACTTTACGATGAAAACCATTGGGAATGTATATTAAGTTTATAGGGAATGTTGCTGGAAAGCTCTTGTAAAATGAGAGCTACTCCTGTATAACTACAGGAGAATTTATGGTTTTCCAATAGCCAGCCTTTCAGAATGGAAAAGTCTTGCCTCAGAAAAGTGACAAAGTAAAAGTGTTTTATAGGAGACTTAAAATTTGTTATTTCCAATCCAGCTTTTGAAAAGCCATTTTCATAATTCTAAGCTGCAAGCTCAACTTCTCCTTTTTATTACCATTAAAAGAATACCTTATCCCGTCAGAAGCTAAATCCTATCCTAGGGTTCTATGTCTCCAGGAATGTGGAAACATGCTTCTGTGTAACTAAGGCAGCTCTGTAGTTCTGCTGCCAGACTTTATAAATGAGCTGTTTTCCTGCAAATTCAGCAGGAAAATAGAACAAAAGGTAAGGGAAAAAAAAAAAAANTGGGAACACAATAGTGAATGAGAGGCAGTGTTCCAGAAGCTCACAGTTGGGTAACAGGATAAGTAAACCAGCCCTTCCACTTCATGTAAGAAGTACTAACCAGGACAGACAGAGACACTCAGGAATACACGCTAGCTTTGCTTTCTCTCCTGAAATTCCATACAGAAACTAGTTTCACATCTTATTTCTTTTTCATTCCCATGAAAGCAGAACATATTGTATTAACTTATATCTCTTGTTAAATAAGGTTAATGTCTTTGCCCAAAATTATACTGAAAAACATAGATATTGTTTAATGCAGATGAAGGACTGCAATAAAGAGGACATTTACTTGAAAAAATCTGCAAATTTAAAGAAATTACTGAAAACACTTCAAAATTCTTTTGTGAGGTTAGCTTAGCAACTCACTAAATGATGGCTTTCACATCCACTTTAAAAAGATACACTTTTTTTTTTTCCGCAGCCTTAACAACCATTATCTGAGTGGTTACCTTTTCAAAATTGCTTTTAAAATGCCTTTTTGGCGCTGACAGATCATAACCACTCCCCTGGCTTCCTTCCCCATCAGTAAACTCTGGCCCCACACCAGTGACTTGATTCTTCTTCTCAGATGACTTCAGCTCAGTTTTTGCTTTGCGTGTGTGCTGAATCCTTTCAGTCATGTCTGACTCTGTGAGACGCTATGGAATGCAGCCCAACAGGCTCCTCTGTCTGTGGGATTCTCCAGGCAAAGATACTGGAGTGAGTTGCCATGCCCCTCTTCAGGGTATCTTCCCAAACCAGAGATCAAACCCATGTGTCTTATGTCTCCAGCATCGACAGGCAGGCACCACCTGGGAAGCTTAAGCTCGCTTTTTTTTTCTGTGTGGATCACATTATTCTTGGAGTTATACATAATTCAAAGAATGTTAAAAGAGGTTCCCTATTCTGGAGTTTTTCTTTTCTTTTCTTTTCTTTTGACTGTCCCGCTCATTACATGGAATCTTAGTTGTTCCCCTGACCAGGAATCAAACCCATACCCACTGCAGTGGAAGTGAGAACCTTAACCGCTGGACCGCCAGGGAAGTCCTGGAGGTGTTGAGAAAGGGCAAAAATACATGAAAAATTAAGTAACAAAACAGTGATAATAGCCCATTGGTACAGTGATAGAGAAGATATCACTAACTGGTCACCACTTTGAGGATTCAGTAATAATACATACTACAGCATAATAGTAATACGCCCTCCATTGGAAAGGCTGGAGCTCTGAGCTATGGTGATCTGATTCGGGATGGTGTCTTAGTTGGCTGGAGCTGCCAAAATAAAACGCCACAGACTAGGTGGCTTAAACAACAGAAATTCATTTTCTCACAGTTCTGGAGTCTAGAAGTCCAAGATTCAGGGGTTACGAGGTCTGATTCCTTGAAGTCCCACTCCTGGGCTCAAAGAAGATATACGGTTGGCTTTCTTTTCTCTCTTCCTCCCTCTTTCTTGACGTCCCCCTTCTATCCTTCCACAAATATGTATTGAGCATCATAGCTGAGTGTGGCCTTGTCGAATGTGGGAATACAACAGTGAACAAGAGATAGTGACCCAGAAGCTCACAGTTGGGGTAGAGAGATGCCTTCTCACTGCATCCTTGCAAATTCTCTCCTCCACACACACAAGGCTTTTCATGTCCTCATCTCCTCTTGTTATGAGAATGCCACTCAAACTGAATGAGGGCCCATCGTAACAGCTTCACTTTAATGTAATATTACTTTAAAGGCCCATCTCCAAACACAGTCATGTTCTGAGGTACCAGGAATTAGGGCTACATGTGTGAAAATTTGGAGGACTTTAATTCATTCCCAAACAGGTGGCTTTTTGGAGAAGGGCGGCACTAAACTAGATCTGTAAGAACGAGCATAGGGAGGATTTCCCTGGTGGTTCAGTGGTTAAGGTTCCATGCTCCCAATGCATGGGGCCCGGGTTCGATCCCTGGTCAGGGAACTAGATCCCACATGCCACAATTAGGACTTGGCAGAGTCAAATCGATTAAAACCAACCAACAAACAGTGGCATAGGGATATGGTGGGTTGAAAAGTGAGAGAGAGAAAGAGTGGGGAAACATTCAACTGGTTGACAAGCTAGGGCACACACTGGGTTTCTTCTCATCCTGAACAAGCTTTAAGACTTTTTCCTCTTCAACAGGCAGACGCACATCATTCTTGGCAGCAGAGGCACAAACCAGCGTTGACTGGAGGAGTGACTGTAAGTTTGCACTGAAGTGACTCTTCTCTGGCTTTGTGGAGCCAGGCAGAGGGACAACAAGCTATGAAAGCGGTCCTGGAAAGAGGCAGAGGGACGGAGGCTGCACTCTGCCCCAAACACCTGTGTGGATTACATTTTTTTGCAATCAATCAATGCCAACCTAACTATTAAGGAAGCATTGGAAATTGTTGCATACTGCTAGGCATTTGTGGTTGATCTTCATGGATTTTAAGAATTTATTTGAACTTCCTGCTCTCTTCTTCTATTTTACTGCTAAGTTTTTAGTTGGTTTTCTGTTTTCTAAAAAATAAATCTTTATTGGCCAGATTGCATATCCCATTGCACTGTCCATTTTCAATAAATTTCAACTTAGTAGGACTTCAGTGATCCAGGTTTTCTTTTGGATGTTATGGGGCTATCTATTGGAGCTTGGGTTTTATTTTATTTTTTTAGTTTCCTTAAAATTTACCATAACAGCAACAAAAGCCTTCTCCCCTTCTTTTTATCTCATTTGAATGCAAATGGAATCCATTTATCTAGAAAACTCTTATTTCACATTCTGTAATTTGGAGTCTGCACTGGAGCACAATGCTCTTTTCCTCTGCAGAAGAGTTTACTTTCTTTATTTCTTCTCAATTCAGGGATTGATACAACCATCAGTTCTATTCAGATTATGGAAATCCAGCAAATAATAGATCGGCGGTATTGCAGTAGAAGCCTCCAGTGCGGGTATGTAAGCCTCCCCACTATCTCTCATTGTTTCTGGAATTTACTCAGGGCTCAGGGCTTTGGAGATTGGAATGAAAGCTAATGTTAGTTACATGGCAAAATCGATGTGTGCTTACATGGCTCCTCAAGTGGAAAACACATTTGTTACATGGTGGACGAGGGAATCGTAAAATGGTTAGTATTAGCAAATGTCAATAAGCCATGGCTCCAAAGATTACAGTCTCCTGGTTTAATGGGTAAGTCCAGAGCAGAAAGCTTAGGGGGCAGCTCTCAGAGGCCACATACCATAGGCACAGAGCTGTTAGTTAATTTTATAGAAAAGGAAGACATTATTACTGATGGCTCTGAGTTATGAGTGAGCTGACATTTATATATTTTAATAACAAGGGATATCATTATTTTAATTGCTGAAAAAATAGAGCATATCTTAACCTTTTCAGTTAAGAGGAAAAAAATCTAGGCATTGCAAAAGTTTACAGCAACGTTCATCTCTAGTGTATCACATGCATCAAGGTAACAATGCATCTAGAAGCATAGAGGGCAAGCACAGAAACTTCAGCAAACACAATATGCAAGTTGAAGGTATTAAGAATGGGGAGGTATTTTTCTTTATTTGGTAAGTATTTACTGGTGTAGTTAAGCCCGCTCCTATTTCAGCCTGCTAGGTTGAAGGCAAGGCTGCGTATTTTCCAGACCTCAGGCTCCAGGCGCTCAGTCTTCAGTAGTTACAGCATATCGGCTCAGTAGTTGCGGCTCACAGGCTCAGTTGCTCCATCACACGTGGAATCTTCACGGACCAGTAGTTGAACGCATGTCCCCTGCCCTGGCAGGTGGATCCTATCCACTGGACCACCAGGAAAGTCCTCTCAGCCTTATTTCTTTTTAAGCTTGATATAGCTTAGGCTTCAGGCTGATGGTCCTGACTTTTATAAAAAAAAGTTTTTTTTATCTATTTTTTTCATTTTTGGCTCTGCCACACAGCTTGTAGGATCTAAGTTCCCTGACCAGGGATTGAACCCAGATAGTAAGAGGTCGGGCATCCTAACCACTGGACCACTGGGGTATTTTCTGGACCTGATTTTTGAAAATAACCTGAATGGCACTTTATCATTTGTGTATGACCTTTACATTCATTATCTCATTGAATTCTCACAAAATCACACAAGGTTGGTGTTATTTATCCCCATTTGGAAGTTACAGAACTTGAGGCCCAGTGAGCTTGAAAAAGTCAGAGACGGACCTTAGCTGGTTTGATAGAACGATGTGATGGTGAAGAGTAAGATGGTTTGGGTTCAAATTCCAATTGACAAGAAGTTCATTCTCCTTGTGTACCTGTTTTCCATCTGTAAGATGAGGATACTTACTACCTAAGTAGTTGGGTTTCAGAGAAGCACATAGATATTGGGAGGAACATAGTAGGAAACGACTTATATTTAAGTTTCCTCTGGTAGGACAAAGTCCTCCTGATCCCAATTCACATCTATTGCTTTTATTTTTGCTTTCTCATTTTTAACAACTCAGTTTAGTATTCATTAAAGAGAATTTAAAATGACTGGCCCTTTCCCCCATTTATCTGGCTTTATTTCTGTATATAATTCAAGGGATGGGAAGGTCATAAGAACTTGTATTAGATACAATGTGCCATTTTGCTTGAGTTTTCATTACAATATGAATCAAAGAAGCTCCCCCTTTTTCCCAACCATCCCTCCCCAAGGGTGGGAGGAATCCCTGTATAAGCATTTCTATCCTGTGGTTTTCTCCATTACTCAATAATAATTAGGACTGTAATAATTTTACTTGATTTCATTTTTGAAAGTACCTGGTATTTCCTGTTGATGTTGCCTAAAAGGGAGTGATTTACTGTATCAAAGCTGGTAGTTATTTTTTCCAGTTCTTTCCAGAGGTACTGTTAAGTTTGAGGCCTTTGCCTCATTTGTTTTCTGAAATCTCTGTCTCCTTAAGCGACGTTGAAGTCATTTCCTATTGGTTTAGTTTTGTGCATTTGGTCGAGGATTTGACTATCATTTCTTCTGTATATTCTAAGAAACCATGAATCTGTTTGTGATATATTTTATAGAGTTTGATCTGAAAGAGATCACTTTGAAATTTGACAGGTATGTCTCTGAAAAATATGAAACTGTGCCATGTTAAACTTGATTTTCTGTATCTATCACATATAATAGACTATTTCACAGTTTATGTAGTATACAAAATTAGAAAAAAGACTGAACCCTTCCCTGCATATTTTGATTTGTGATTTTATTTTTTCCCTTAATTAGGTCTGGAAATTACAATTACCATATTCCTGTTAATAAGTACACACCCACCAATGTCAAATTCTCTCTGGAAATCAAGTAAGTTCATAGCTGTAACAGATAATTCTGTTTTTATTATGTTATAATTCTGTTTTTATTATCTGAATACCAAGCCTGAGTTTCCCTCACAATTCGATTAATAATTTAGGAGGTGGAAAGTTTTCAGTTAAAGAACGACGGTTGGGTTGAGAGGTGGGCCAGTTTTAGGGAGGGATTTTCAAAATTAAGCCTGGGATCTTCCAAGCTTCTTCCAAGGGATATAAAGGCTCTAGGCTGTATGCTCATAACTGCAAAGTGAGCCTGACCTTGGATTTGATGTTCTCAGGCTGCTAGCTGCCCTTGGCTGTGTCCCTTTGAATTGGGGTGGGAGCTAGAATAATAGCATGTTTCCTTGATTGGGGGGGGGNCTTCCTTTCTTTCCCTTTCCTCTGTCCTCCCCTCTCCCCCTCTGCTTCCCCAGCTCTGTTATTCTTCCTCCATCATTTCCTCCCACTCCACTCTGGTCTCTTCCTCTGTTTCCCTCAGACTTCATACTCCTTCTTTCATCAACCTTGCTTCTACAATGAGATATTAACACAAGCCAACTGCTTGCCTTGGAATGGTCTTTTTCAAGCAGCTAAAATTTCATGACTCACTATCCACCACATTACAAGGCAGAGCAAAAACTAAGTGTACTATTCTCTAGCACTCTCTAGGCTGCCTGGGACAGTGTTTCCTCATTTGTCCCTGGCTTCGATGGAAGGAAGTAAGCTGAAATGGTATATCCCTTGAAATGGCAGAAGGTCATCTTGAACCACTGAAAAGTGGGTGTTAGTCACTCAGTCATGATCAACTCTTTGCAACCTTATGTACTGTAGCTTCTGTCCGTGGAATTCTCCAGGAAAGAATACTGGAGTGGGTAGCCATTCCCTTCTCCAGGGGATCTTCTCGACCCAGAGATTGAAACTGGGTCTCCCACAATAAATCGGGCTTTTTAGTTTAAGAATCATTTTTTTTCTAACAGCAGTGATCTTAAAGAAACACATATACTCAACCAAGATTGTAGGTTTTCCCAGAGATAGGTGGACCTCCTCCTCCTGATGATGATTCCTGGGCCAGCCTCTAGAGAAGAACCATTCTTTCTGACAGATCTACTCTGATAACTTTAAGGACTGATAATTCCTAATGGGGCGCACCCCCACACCCATACCTGTGTTGTTTGTCTCTGTTTCAAATGAGACCTATCCAGACCAGAAGCTGGCAGAATTTCAGATCCTGGAAATGTCAGATGAAAGTAAATTCAGCTGCCGGTGAAAAGAGAAGGGATATACCCCCAAACTGTTTTTATTTTTTTATTTTTTCCCAATTATTTTTATTAGTTGGAGGCTAATTACTTTACAATATTGTAGTGGTTTTTGCCATACATTGACATGAATCAGCCATGGATTTACATGTGTTCCCCATTCTGAAACCCCTCCACCTCCCTCCCCATCCCATCCCCCTGGGTCATCCCAGTGCACCAGCCCCGAGCACTTGTCTCATGCATCCAACCTGGACTAAACTGTTTTTAAAGTCTATGGAGATAAGAAGTTCTAATGTTGAAATGACTGAAGTCATGAGACTAGGTTTTCAAGGCTGTCGTTATGTTATCTCAGTTTTAGTTTCAGTCAGCTCCAGTCTACTATACAGTAAGATCCCCGTAGACTGGGTGGCTTAAACCATGGACATTCATGTCTCGAAGTTCTGGAGCCTGGGAAGTCCAAGATCAAGGCACTGTCAGATTTGATGTAGGATGAGAGCCCACCTCCTGGTTGACACGTAGCCATCTTCTCTCTATATCCTCACATGGCAGAAGGGGTGAGAGGGCTCTCTGTGGTCCTTTTCATGAGGGCACTAACCCCACTCATCAGGGCTTCATCAGCAAGATCTGTCACTTCCTTAAGGCTCTACCTCCTAACACCATCATATTGGAGGTTAGGATTTAAACATATGAATTTGGGGGGTGGGGGACACAAGCATTCAGTCGACAACAGTAGTCTTCTGAGATTGAGTTTCTTTCTGTTATGATGAGAGGTGAACTAGTATACTGGCATTCGTGAGTTTTGTGTAATAACAGGCCTATTTGGAACTTTGAATGGATTTCCAAGTTATGTTCCCATAAGCTCCTCTTCTGAAGCTGTAGCCTGTGAGAGCTGATAAGTGCTTTTCCATTCGCTGTTTCTTTCCTTTGTCTCTTGAAGCACAACAGAGCCACTGATAGTCTTCCAGTGCAAGTTCACCCTTGGAAATGTGTGTTTCCGCAGTAAAATTGAGGCCAAAGGGATGCAAAGTCAACAGGAAGTCTCCCAGGAGATGACACAGGTAACATTTTCCAGCTCCTCGGCATTCTGCCTTCCAGAAGTGCATCTGTAGTGGTGACGCAGCCTCTGATCCTCACCACGACAGAGATGCCATGAGTCACATGCCGTTGTTCCCCTTTGCTGACCCTGGTCACCCTTTGCTGACCCTGGTCACAGCATTTGGTTCAGCATCCTTTGGAAGCTGCAGACTTCTCCAGCAACACCATCAGAAACTATGGCCACAAACAGCTCTCCTACTGCAGTCAAGGGAATGCTTTTCCACCTGGGCTTTTCCCAGCGAAGAGTAAAATGTAGTTATGTGATGGATCTCTCTTTCATTTATTATTTAGGGATATCAGCACATTTGGAGCCTCCCTGTAGCACCACTCTTCGACAGTGGGTACCATTTCCGGGTAGCTGCACCGGTAAGCTCTCTTTTTTTTTTCTTTTCAGTGAGAAAGAAATGGACCATTAAATAAATAGATAGGTAAATGGTGGTGGTGGTGGTTTAACCACTAAGTCATGTTCGACTCTTGAGACCCCATGGACTGTAGCCCATCTGGCTCCTCTGTCCACGGGGTTTCCCAGACAAGAATAGTAGAGTGGGTTGCCATTTCCTTCTCCTATAATTTTAATTACAACTAATTCTTACATTAATCATTCTCTCCCCCCACTCCCCTTCTGACAGGATTTAGCTGACTGTTCAACGGACCCTTATTTTGCCGGGAAATTCTTTACAGACTACTTCTTTTACTTCTATCGACAGTGTGTATAATTTATTCAAGTTTGTTCGGGGACTCTACCAAAGAAAAACACTTCAATACAGTTAACAGAAACTTTTAGCCTCTTGCAACTTCTCTTTACCCTTTGTAAAGCATTCATGTTTATTGCCAAAGGGCTTTTTCCAGGCTTTGGCTTCCGAAGGTTTTGAGACATTAGTGAGGAGAATAAAGTGTTTGCTGGAATTTGAGATACTGTGGTGTTTGATTTTGCCGTGACTATGAGGAAAACATTTCCTGGAGTAAACAGCACTGTTGGATTTGAAAATACTGCTTCTGTTCCTAAGGAAGCTGTGAGGTCAAAATGGGCAGGTTTGACTTTACTTTGTCTTTGTATATCTCCACGCTTTTGAGGAAAACAAAAAGACCCACTTTAGCCGTGTCAACTTGGACCCACTAAACACAGACTGTTGAGAATCTGTGATTTGGTGTGTGTCAGGGGAGGGGTGGGTGGTATCTGAAGCTGAGCTCACATTTAGGCCAAGCTATTACTATGTGTATATGTGTGTGCATGCACTTGAACTACATATACTAGTGTAGAGACTGTAACTTGCTAATAAACTGGATTTAAAAAAAATAAGATCTTTGTAATGTTACTTTGTAATGTTTGATGGGTGCTAAACTTTTACGTCCTCTTGGGAAGCACTAGCTTGTGACAAGTCCTTTAAATTAACCCAAATTAAATTAAACTAACTATCTAGGCTCGGATAGTTCCATTCGATCTTTCAGTTGTCATTACCAGTATCTTAGGTTTTTTTATTTTAAAAATTCTTTTATTTTTATATTTTGGAGTATAATTGCTTTACAATGTTGTATTAATTTCTGCTGTACAGCAATGTGAATCAGCTGTATGTATACATACATCTCCTTCCTCTTGAGCTCCCCCCCCACCCTCCCATCCCACCCCTTGAGGTCATCACAGATGAATGGATAAAGAAGATGTGGTACATATATACAATAGAATATAACTCAGCCATAAAAAGGCACAAAACTGGGTCCTTTATAGTGATGAGGATGGACCTAAAATCTGTTATACAGAGTGAAGTCAGTCAGATAGAGAAAAACAAATATTGTATATTGCCACATATATATGGAATCTAGAGAAATGGGACAGATGAGCCTATGTGCAGGGCAGGAAGAGAGAAACATTGCCTTGTTTTTGTTGTTCTTCCTCTACATGCAAGAGGTTCTCTTACAGAGCATTAAGACCCATCTCCATTGTTTACAGCTGAATTAGCTTTGGATATTTCTGCTTAGCTTATGGGTAGATTTGAATGCCCTTCCCAACTTGGAAGAGCTGGAAATCCTCTAGCTAGAGTGTACTAACTATATCTTTTATTTTCTGTTTTCTGATGTTTTGATATCTTGGGGTCTTGCTGACCCTCATGGGACTCTAGGTCCCGAGTTTAGGCTATTCCTAGAGAGAGTAAACTTGCCCACCAATGATTTTCAAATACCAACCAACCAACCCAGAGCCTCCACCCCCAACCACCTCCTTTATCAAGTTCTTATATTTGGAACTACTATCCCCCTGCCCTGATTTCCAGGGCCATGTAACAGACAACTAAGGACAGCCTCTTTTGCCCGGAGCCTGCTGAAATTACTCAAACTAGCCAGTTCTAAGCCTGTTTCCCCTGCCTCACCTGTTCCTTCCATTGAAATGACAATAAAGGCTTTTGTACACAGTTCCTCCCTCTCCTTCCTCTTCCTTACTAACCCTGGGGCTTCCTAGTGTCATATCCCTTCCCCTGGAATTGTAACAAACTGTCTTTCAATGGGGATCATCTTCTGGTCTGTTGACCTACATATACCCCAGATTTTTCATTAATACACTGTATTTTAGGGTATGGAGGTTCAAGTCACTCTAGCTTCAGGTAACAGGGCTGTTGAATGACTGGCCTTCCCTTATCTTACTGTTGGCATCTGTGATACTGTAATTTATAATAAGAAATGTATGTTTGATTTTTATCTCTTGTTCCTGGCACAGAGCTCCTAAAACTTTTGGAGTTCCCTAAGTGCTGAGAGAGATAAAAGTATCTTTGGTTTTGTCAATGGGGTGACGTTTACATGGCACCAAAGGATGAGGGCTGGTTACCAGGACAACCAATCACGTGATTAGAGGATTTGAACTTCCAGTCTCAGCCATGATCTCTGGGGAAGAATGAGGGGCTGGAGGTTGATTTCAGTCACCAGTGGCATAATTTAATTAGTCATGCCTATGGAATGAATCCTCCATAAAAATCCAAAAGGATGGAGTTCAGAGAGCTTATGAGTAGGTGAACACAGGGGGATTTGGTAAGAAGGCACCCTTTTCCTGCACCTTACCCTGGATGTCTCTTCCAGGTGGCTGCTCCTGAGTTACATTCTTTTATAATAAACACATAATCTAGTAAGTAAAATGTTTCTCTGAGTTTTGTGAGCTACTCTAGCAAATTAATCAAACCCAAAGAGGGGGTACGGGGGAAATACTAATCTACCGCTGGTAGGTCAGAAGCACACATGATAATCTGGGTTTGCATCTGGCATCTGAAGTTGGGGCTTGGGGAGAGTCCTATGGGACCCAGCCCTCAACCTGTAGAATCTGAAGCTGTCTCCTGACAGATGGTACCAGAATTGGGTTGAGTTGTTGGACACCTAGCTGGTGTCTGAGAATTGTTTGGTGATGTGGGGATAAGACACCTGCCTAGAGTGGACTTGGGTCCCAGAATCCTTTTTAGCCTATGAGTCAAATTATGATGAGACAATTGGATTTTTTTTATTACCTTGACAGTGGTAATTAGTAGGAATAATAAATCCCTTTTTTCCTTATTTTCAAGTATGATTAAGCACATGCTATGTGGATGGGAATTACAAGAGCTTCTAAGAAAAGACATGTGGCTTACTTACACAGAAGGCATTTTGAAATAACTTATGGAAACAAAGGTAGTTTAACCCTGTAGGAGTTGAGATTTTGGAGTCAAATAGTCCTTGCCTTGGTCCTGAATCCTGACTTTATTTGTGTCTCTTGAGCAAATTACTTAACTTCTTTAAGCCTCAATTTCCTCATTTTATAGAAGACAGTGAGTACCTGCAACAGATAGGATTAAATGAGATAAAACAATGCACAGATAGAATCTAAATAAATACAAGCTGCTTTGTTATACAGAACCAAATAAAGATCACAGTGGGATTATAAAGGGATTGGGTAACTGAACACTCATATACACGGAAACATTCTGTCAACTCCAAAAATCAAACTGCAGATAGAACACATGCATGTGTACTATATAACATTTATATTTTTTTCTATATTTGGAAAATTGTTTCCCCTTTACTAACAGCACAGCCTTTGCAGGAAATTAGATAAGGTAGTTAAGTCTTGAGAGTTCAGGATTCCTACATTTTCTTAGATTCAAATTCAAACTTGCTTCTCTGAATTGTAGTATCAGACTGTCGCAGCCTGACATTGGTCCGGATACTGAAGTTTTAAAATAATGTCCCAGGTGCTTGGTGTGGTAGAGACACCATTAATTTGACTCTTCTGCTGGTACATGAGGCTTCCCTAGTGGCTCAGTGGTAGAGAATCTGCCTGCAGTTCTGGAGCCTCAGGAGCCATGGGTTTGATCCCTGGGTCAGGAAGATCCCCTGGAGGAGGGCATGACAGCCCATTCCATTATTCTTGCCTGGAGAATCCCATAGACAGAGGAGCCTGGTCAGTTACAGTCCATGGGGTCGCAGAGAGTCAGACACAACTGAAGTGACTTAGCAAACACAGGTACATACTTGTCAGTGGCAAACTTAAGAGTTCTTCTCAGTATCTAATTCCCATATTCTTATTCACTCATTTATGTTCAGGATACTATAGAGGTTTCAGATATCTAGTTGAGTAACGATTCTTCTAAAATGAATGAATACTTCTTTCCCATTAAATTCCAGAATAAACTGAAAATCTTTTCCCCACAGAAAACTTACTACAGGAGATGTGTTGAAAGACTTCAGAACAAAAGGATTTAAGATAGTGAACAGACCTGTGGCAATCTATGGCTTCTTGGGATTAGTTAGGTCTAGAACAGATCTTGCTGTAAGTTTCTTTTTGTATGGATAACACTTCCTATTTCTCTAGGTGTTAGAAGTCCATGACGGACCATGGTGCTTCAGGACAAAAGATTTTTCCTTATGTCAGAGAGTTATCTGACTCTCTACTAGAGTATTCCCAAATTCATGTGATTAGAATGTCTAGAAGAGTATTCCTCTCAAAAGCCCATAACTCCAGTCTAATCATGAGCAGTGTGTGTGTGCGTGCTAAGTTGCTCCAATCATGTCCAACTCTTTACGACCCTGGGGATTGCCAGGTTCCTCTGTGCATGGGAGTCTCCAGACAAGAATACTGGAGTGGGTTGCCATGTCCTCTTCCAGGGGATCTCTCCCACCCAGGGATTGAACGCGTGCCTCTCACATCTCCTGCATTGGCAGGTGGGTTCTTTACCACTAGCACCACCTTGGAAGCCCTACTCATGAGCAGAACACCAGATAAATCCCATCTGAGGGACATTCTATGAAATACCTGACCCAATACTGTTCTTTTTTAACTTTGGCTGTGCCACAGGATCTTAGTTCCCCAACCAGAGATCGAACCTGGGCCCGTAGTGGTGAAAGTGCCAAGTACTAACCACTGGACTGCCAGGAATTCTCAAGACATAAAACAAGGTGTAACTAAATGTAATGTGATATTCTACAGGGGACCCTGGAATCGAAAAAGGAGATTAGATGCAAACTAAGGAAATCTGAATAAAGTATAGCCTTAGTTATTAATAATGTGTCAATACTGGTCCATTTTCTGTGACAGATATACCATACTAATGTTAAGATATTAATAATAGGGGAAACTAGGTGTGGGGTTTATTGGAACTCTATGTACTAGCTTCATTATTTTTTTTTAATAAATCTGAATTTGTTCTAAAATTTAAAAAAATATTTTAAAAAAGTAAGAAATGCTGTCCATAACAGCAGGCTAAAGTATCATATGTACCACAGGTGCCATTTGTGATCACATGAGTTCAGTTCAGAGGGCTTCCCTGTTGGCTTAGATGGTAAAGAATCTGCTTGCAATGAGGGAGACCTGGGTTTGATCCCTGGATCAGAAAAATCCACTGGAGAAGGGAATGGCTACCCAATCCAGTGTTCTTGCCTGGAAAATTCCATGGACAGAACAGCTTGGTGGGTTAGCTTTCAAAGACCTTAACGAATACTATAAAATATAAATATTATAAAATATAAAATAACACATAACATAGCAAATAGAATTACAGTGATTTTTCTTGTGTTCTAATACAGTAATTCAAACTAGCTCAGATTTTTTTTTTGAACAACCAAACCATAAAAATTTATTCACTTAAAACAATTACCATGCATAGGTTCAGACCTCCAGCATTTTAAAAATAAAAATATTTTGTAGCGCTCTTAACCTCTTTTTCCATTTTTATTTTTCCTACACAATTTTGCCATTTCAACTTCAACGGCAGATTCTCAACAACACATTATTTGAGTCATGAAACTAAAGATCCTCAAGAGAAGATCAAAACAGCAATTCTGTTGGCAGTTTACAAATCTTCCCTCACTTGATTCTCACAAGAACCTTCTGATGTTGGCAGACTTAGAGAACAAACTTAAAGTTGCCAGGGGAGAAGGATGAGGGGAAGGGATAGTTAGGGAGTTTGGGATGGACATGTGCACACTGCTATATTTAAAATAGATAACCAACAAGGTACTACCGTGTAGCATAGGGAAAGCTTCTGTTTGTTATGTGGCAGCCTGGATGGGAGGGGAAGTTGGTGGTTTAGTCCCTAAGTCATGTTCTACTCTTATGACCCCGTGGACTATAGCCCACCAGTCTCCTGTGTCCATGGGATTTTCCAGGCAAGAGTACTGGAGTGGGGTGCCACTTCCTTCTCCAGGGAATCTTCCCCACCCAGGGATCAAACCTGGGTCTCCTGCATTGCAGGCAGATTCTTTGCCACTGAGCCAGTAGGGGAGCCCAGGGAGGTGGGGAGAATGGATACATGTGCATGGACGGCTGAGTCCCTTGGCTGTCCGCCTGAAACGATCACAACATTGTTAATCAGCTAAACTCCAATACAAAATAAAAAGGTTTTAAAAAAGAACTTTGTGATGTGGGGGGTGAGGAGAGTTATTCATAGTTCCCCATTCTACAGATAAGGAGACTAAGGCACAAAGAGGTTAAGTAAGGATAAGAGATGAGCCAGCTTTTCTGGTGTTAAATTTAATCCACTTCCACTATACACATATCTTATTCAGCGTGGGCTATCATACAAAATTTAAAACTGGGTGGCTTAAACAACAGGAATTTATTTCTCAGTGCTGGAGGCTGGGTAGTCTAAGATTAGCAGGCTCAGTGTCTGGTCAGAGCTGTATCCTTCAGCTGAGACAGCCTCCTTCTTGCTCTGTCCTCACGTGCTCTTTCCTTAGTACATGAACGTGGAGGGAGGGAGAGAGAGAGGAATCAAGTTCTTTGGTGTCTTTTTTTAAATAAGGGTGCTAATCCCATCATGGGGGCTGTATCTTCATGACTGGTCTATACCTAACTACCACCCCAAATCAGATCTCCAAACATCATCATATTAGGGACTGGACTTCAGCATAAAACAGGACCCTGAAGGAAACTTTCAAGGGAAGGGCCACTCCCCATGTCCCTCTTGTTTGTAGAAGAGTTTTAGTCTCCTAGGCCTTCTCGGAGTTCCAAAAAGCAAATTTAATTAGAGAACTGAGAAAATGCAGAAACAAAGGAAAACTGGCAAGCAAGACAAAAATAATAGTTGACCATAAAACAAGTCAAGGATCTTCAGTTTCTCCTCAAGGGCTATTGTTAATATCCTGAGTCATATTCTTGAACTGTTTTGCAGATAATAAAATCCCTATCATATGGAAGAAGTTAATGACATGCTGACCATCAATCAGCATGTAGACCCCAAACTGGTTGGAACCAGAAGCTTGATGGTTGAGATTCTTGAAACATCACCCTATTACCTCATTATCAAACATGAGATCCCTGAAACATCGCTCTGTTGCCTCATCATCAGCCAACCAAAGAACTGTGCACAAGATAATCAGGCACCTGCAACCCTACCCCTCGCACTGTCTTTAAAACACTTCCCTAAAAGCCACTGCTGAGTTTAGATCTCTGAGCATGAACCATCCATTCTCCTTGCTTGGTTTTGCAATAAATGTACTTTCTTTCACCACAGCTGGTGTCAGCTTGGATTTGCTTATGTCAGGTGAATGGACCCCAGCTCGGTTCAGTAATATGAATTCAACAGTGAGACAATTCAGTTCAGAAAATTGCATCACTTACTCTTCGGAGATTTTTTCCTTTCTTCACAACTCTTCAAAGTTTGCAAAAGACCACCAACACAGATGATGACCTACCTCAAAGGTACTAGCACATTAATGGCTCTGGTAAGAGATACTTACACTTACCAGGTTCTGTGAGCTGATAGGATTTATTACAGGCCGTTTGGCCATAATACAGACTAGACAGAGGGCAGAGGGACAGACGTGAGTAAAATCCCCTGTCACCAGCCACTAAGTTATATCTATTTATATTGCATCAGGGCTTAACAGCTCACTTGAGAATGCTAAATATCAACCTCACTCCAAGGAACACTTCAGGAAAAACTTCACTTGGCAAAGCTAAAAGTGTTTTGGTTTTCATTTCTTCAAGGACATATGTCATTGATTTTTGTGTCTGATTCTAAGCAGCCGGTTGAGCTCTTAAGAAGCATCCAAGGATTTAAACTCTAGGGCATTTTTGATGTGGTTGTTTAAAGCTTGCAGAAGCACAACTCCAGGGGCCTCCAGTTTATCAACAGTGTTCCATATACGGTTTCATCTTTTCATGGCTGGATTCTGTGAATGGAGAAAGTCTTTGACAATTATTAAGAGATGTTATTGGAAGAAGGGATGGATGCCAATGACCACAATCTCTCCTTCCATTTTTTCACGTGCGCTGTTCTTAGTTGCTCAGTCAAGTCCAATGCTTTGCAACCCATGGACTGTAGCCTGCCAGGTCCCTCTGTCCATGGGGATTCTCCACTCCCACTGGAGTGGGTTGCCATGCCCTCCTCCAGGGGATCTTCCCAACCAAGGGATCGAACCCAGGTCTCCTGCATTGCAGGCAAATTCTTTACTGTCTCAGTCACAAGGGAAGCCCAAGAATACTGGAGTGGGTAGCCTATCCCTTCTCCAGGGGATCTTCCAGGAATCAAACTGGGGTCTCCTGCATTGCAGGTGGATTCTTTACCAGCTGAGTTACCAGGGAAGGCCCTAAGAAATAGATACTGGGTGGCAGGTAATTTTTCATGGCCCCATACAAATATAGATGAGATCACATTTGAGAAAGACTCTTGATGGCATGTCTTTGCCAGAGTTGAATTCTAAAACCATTTTTAGCTACACTAGTCTGACTTCCTGTTTAAATACAGAATAACTGGGAAAAGAGCTAGACTCAGAGTCAGGAACGTTGGTCCTGGTCCTGGCTCAATAACTGACCATTGGTGTCATCTTGGATAGCTTATTTCACTTCCCCAGTTGCAACACTGAATCTATGATAGTCCTACCTACGCTAGGAGTTACTGTGGACACTACATGAGGTATTTATGGAAAACCTTGTTGTAAAGTGGAAAGTGTACGAAGACAAGAGTCTTTAACAATGGTCCCTGGGAAGATGTTATTTTGAATGAGTAAGTAAGAAGTTAGAAATTCTCATTTAAAAATATATATGTTTATTTGGTTGCACTGGGTCTTAGTTGCAGCATGCAGGATCTTTAGTTTCAGCATGTGAACTCTTAATTGCAGCATGTGGGATCTAGTTCCCCGACCAGGGATGAAACCTGGGCCCCTTGCTTTGGGAGTGTGGAGTCTTAGCCCTTAGACCACCAGGGAAATCCTCACTTTCTTTAATGAGCTTCAGTCCATTACTCTTAGGGTGAGTTGCTTATATTTCCATCCACCATCTTCTTCACCTGGAAAACATGCAGCACACAGTAGATACACTATCAGCACTTGTTAAATGAAAAGTGAGTAAACAGGAACATTGCCTCTCCTTTACCAGGGAGACATGGTAAGATGACATGCTGAAAGAGGTTGGAATTCCTCTCCCTTTTTAACTGTGATTTTTTTTCTTGCTATTATTAGAAATAATAGAGTGTTTTTAATGCTCCAAACACCCCCAAATGACTTCCAGTAGAAACTAGAAAGTCAAATGGCCTATTGTCCTTTAGAGGATTCCAGATCCTCATAGTCCATTATGACTTATTATTCATCATTTATATTTATACTTCTGCATTTTATTCTGTGTAGCACAACTGCATATCTAAATTAATTGCAGATTAATCATAAAGTGTGTAATAAGGGTTTCATATTGTATCCAAACATTGAATGCATTACAACAGTAATTAAGCTGCTGTAGTTTTCCCCTAACGTGAGTTGTAAGATCTCAGGCTTCACATCCTATATAATTACTGAGAAACACTTCTTTTCAGTGCATATATTCTTGGCCCTGAATTATCTAACACAGAGAGCCACTCAAGATTGTGTTAAGAAGAAAAAGTTTCTTAGTTACTTCACAGAGGTCCATTTACTGCTAAGAAAACCCTCCAATACAGAGGCTCTTCCACCTGTTCAACCTTCGAGCTCTGTAACACTTTGTTCATTTTCACTTACTGATATCTGTGGGGGACTATCGATGTACCAGACTCTCAGTACAGCGCTGGGGCACAAGAAAAGCCTGGCATCCTTCCTGAGATTTGGGAGGCATCCACCGTCTGGTGGGCTAGCCATCACACAGCGTGAAAAGCGCTGTCACTGTGACATAGGCAGTATGCTGTAAGGGTGCAGGGAAGAGGTGGTACATCCTGCCTCTCAGGTAAATGAGAAAGGGTCTGAAGGAAGGAAAAGGAAAGGCTTCAAGCAGAAAGAGCTATCTGAGTTGTATGGGTCTAAAAGGACGAGAAGTGTTCTGTGTGTGTGTGTTTAACCAGAAATGGAAAAAGGCAGAAGTTACCTGTGAATCAGTCTCTTATAAGAGAGAAAATCTGATTTTAAATACATCAGGAATTGCTAAGTTAATGATCACCACCCCCGCCCATCTGAGCCAGCTCTTCTGCTAGCTTTGCTTATGGGAGAGGCACTCCTCTTTCTGAAAGACACCCCTTTTCCTTTTCAGCGCCAAGAGTTGGCCATCTGTCCCAGGAGATTCAAGAAAACTGTGGGAAAGGCAAAACTCCCTGGGTGGGGCATGGGATGAGTCAGGGGGCTGGCGATGAGACTGGGTGGGGAGGCTGAGCCTCAGGACAGTCACTGACTCATCCACAGGTACCTTTTTCTCTCTCTGTGGGAGGGGTTTGATAAGTATTTGTGCAGTGGGTAAGGGCCGGCTGTATGTAACCAATGCCCACCTGTCTTTCGGTCCCTCTGCCCATTTTAAAATAAAGAGGTTTTCCTTTCTAAAGGAAGCTCCTTTCTCATTTTTAAGTCTCAGAAGCTCAAGCTCAGGGTATCTCCTGGGATGACTTCCTCTTTATTTTTGGGTACACCACCCACTGATTTTCTTTTGGCAACAACCTGACCCAGCTCTCAGTCCGTGTGAAAAAGATGAGGTTGGCACCACTCCCTCACCCCAGGCCCAAGGAAAGAAAATACTGCAGTCCCTCGGCAACTGTGATTGGTTCAGGGTAAGCATAGGACCCAAATCAGGCCCATCAGAACCATCCCTGGGAGTCTGACTGGAACTATAAGCTACGAGGTATTCTTGGTGGAAGTTACTAAGCTGGTAGGACTAAACCTGGAGCTGCCGGGAGCCAGCTGTCTTATCATCATGGTAGGTTGCTTATCTGAGAATGAAGCTGATACAAAGGAAAGTGGGGCTGAGATAGGACAGATTTCCAAGCCTGATTTTGGCTCCCCTTCCCTTTGCCTCCTCCCATCGACTTAGCATTTGGTGGTCTAATACAGTTCCTTTTGCTTTAGTAGATTACATTTGGATTCTGACACATAGCCAACAAGAATTGTGGTGAATACCAGCCCTTATCAAGAATCTGAACGTTTTTCTACACAGGGTGTTCCTCTGGCTGTCTTCAGATCCTGATGCCTTATTTATGAGGGTATCAGTCGCTTTCTGAATCTGGAAGGTGCACTTGGACGGCCCTTGCCTTTCCCTAGTGGCTGCTATGTCCTAGGTGACNCCGGCTTCTCCATCCACTCACTTGTTTATGCCCATCAGGGCCACTCCCAAGAGTAATCTTGGACCCCAAGTCTCCATCAACTTCCAGCTTGGGTCTCCAGGGCTATGTGACTCAGTCTCTCAAATTCCTGGGAAAGAGAATCTGGCTGGTCCAGCCTGGCTCAGCTGTCCATCTGGCATTTCATCAGCTAAGGCCAAGGAAGAGGGTCATGTGGCCTATAGGGCTCCTCCTTTTAAGCTGGGGGTAGTGGTGAATAGATACTCTAAAGCAGGGAATGTGGCCTTCCCTAGTGGTTCAGCGGTAAAAAATCTGCCTGCTAATGCAGGAGACACGGGCTCAATCCCTAGTCCAGGAAGGTCCCACATGCCATCGAACAACTAAACCTGTGAGCCACAACTACCGAGCCTGTACTCTAGAGCCTGGGACTGTGACTAACGAGCCCACGCACCCTGACGAATGAAGCCCACCAGCCCATGAGCCCACGTGACACAAGAGAAGCCACTGCAATGAGAAGCCCATGCCCCACAACCAGAGAGTGGCCCCCCTCACAGCAACTAGAGAAAGTCCACGCAGCAGCCAAGACCCAGCACAGCCAAAAATAAATAAACAAATAAAATTATATTTGAGAAAGGAGGGAATGTGGGAGGGAAGGAACTTACATATATCATCAGTATAGTCTCTTTGTCTCATCTGATGCCTGTATTTCTGAGAGATAGAACTGATTCTTTTCCCCGTTTAACCTAACTATGGGTCTTGAAGAATGCACTGCTACCCGTCAACGAAGATGTGAGCAGGAGTTAGAATTCTATCAGAAAAAGTTCAACAGGAAACACAGTTAGAAACTGGTGGACCCTGGGCTCTTGGCATCTGTGGGGCTTATCTGCAGCTGCAGAGGTTTTGGCAGTAGCTGAGGTGGCGGAAAATCCAAATTTTTTCCTT